CCCCAGCTCTCCCAACTTTTCCGCGGCCCCTCCCCGCGCCCACCCCCGCGCGCGCTGCCCCGGGCGCCGGGCGGGGGTCCCGACTCACTCGGCGCGGCGCGGAGCGGACCGAGCCGGGCGCCGCCGCTCCGTCTCTCCCCGGGTCGCTGCTCCGGGCCCCCTCCCGACTGGCTCCTTTTGCTCCTCTCCTCCCCCTTCCGCCCGCCCACCGCCGGCCCGCTCCCTCCCTCCTTCCTCCTCCTGCCGCCGCCCGCCGAGCCCGGGCGAGCTGAGGCCGAGCCCCGCCGGGCAAGAAAGGCCGCGAGCGACGCCGAAGCCGGGAGGCTGGGCGTGGGCCTGCGGGCCGGGAGCCGAGGGGCGCGGGCCCGGCCTCTGCGCGGGGCGGCGGCGCCCGGGTCCCCCGCTCCCGACGGCCACCCCGTTCGTTGCCCGCCCTGGCGGGCCGCAGGGCCCCGAACCGGAACCCTCGGAACGCCCGGACCCCGCGGCCGCGCCCGCGGGGATCGCGACGCCCAGGGAGAAGCCGCCCATGAGGGAAAACAGTGCGGACTCTTATCCACTTCGGCCTCTCGGTTCGGGGTGGGAGACAGGCCACCGGGACCCCGAGACAGACCCGCCGGGTGCCAGCGGATGCGGGGCCGGAGTAGCGGGGCCCGTGCCGCGCCCTTCCCGCCCCTGCTGCGGTTCGCGACCTCAGCGGGGCGGCTGCGGCCCCCAGTTCCCCCTGCCCGCCGGTTGCCACACTTCCCACCTCCAGCGGAGTCCTGCCCGAGAGCCGCGCCCGGGGCCGAAAGCCTCTCTCCAAAGCTACCGAAGCAGGAGGCCCTTGGCGATTCAACTGCCTTCCCATCGCAGAGCCGGCGACCCTCCATTTCCCCAGTACAACCCCGTGTCTCTAGCCAAGTGCCATGGGACCTACCCTCCGTGGCCGAGAAGAGCGCAGTCCTCCTTGCACACAAACCCTACTGCAGCAGAGTCTGAAAGGGCCGCCCCCCAACTTCTGTTTCGCAAAAGCTATTTGAGGTTTCAAACTACACCACGTTTATCCGCGTTTGATTTCATATTAACAAGTATTTTCCCCTTTAAATAGTCTGGTAAATTGCTGTTTCAGGAATATGCAACATGTTTATCCTAGAAAACTGGCCTTAACTCCTGGTGGGAAAAGTCATGACTAAGGTGCGTTTGAGGGATTGTTTACAGAGAGAGCTACAGCTTACTCCGTGTGGAGGTACTGGTAAATTTTTTGACCTTGAAATGTTGGTTTTTTAATGCTATCACAGTTAGAACCTCTGATGGTGGTTTGTTTCATGGTTTATCTAGTCAAGTCCCACTTGTGCTTTGACAGTTCTCTTAAGAAGGAGCATGACCTCTGACCTCGCACTAATCCGGTTTGAGGGCTTGCTCACCTAAGGCTCTTTCTGGAGGCGTAGAAAGCCAAAAGCTGACTGACCTCCAGCCTGTCGGTTCATCTGCTGTCTGCGGTGGAACCTCCAGCCCAGGTACCGCAGGAGAAATGAGACCTGTTGGTGTGTCCCCCTGAACCAGCCCCAGGGCCTTCTCCAGGTTTCCAGGGGTAGCCTGGTTTCCCGGTTCCCAGAACCTCTCCAGCCCTGTTTTCCTTTGCCCCTGTCAGAATTCCTCCCTTCTGAGCATATTTTATATTGTAACTTTCTACCCCTTTGTAACTCCGCCTCCCTCAGCCTTCCAATTCCAAAGTTCCCTCTACCTTTCTTCAGCGCCCTCCCCAGCACCCTCCTCATCTGCTGCACCCCCACACACCTTTCGGGTCCCTCTCTAACCCCTCTGCACACCTCTGTCCTGCTTGTGTCC